ATTGATCTGTGTTGTGTTATTTTCATGTTATCACTGTGAAGCTGCTTTGATACAATCTGTATTGTAAAAAGCACTATTTAAATAAAGCTGACTTGAATTGCCTTAAAGAACTTTCAAATGCTGCTGGGGCATATGGCAGCCGCAGCCGCTATGGCTTCTTCTATGTGAAGACTGCTTCAGCACTAGCTTTATGATCAAGTCCCAAGGTGACCATGGCAGAGCTGTACGCCCTGTGTGACAACAAATCACCCTGGCCTGCCGCCAAACCCTCAACCTGTGATCAGACCTTTCTTTTCTCCGGGGAAAACTGCTCCTAGAACGAGGTCCACTAACACCGACTGAGGGGCTATATACTTTAACGGAGGCCTGACAACCTCCGAACTGCATTGGTATTCGTTACCGCGATTTTGTTGCAGTTCACCTCGCTTTGAGCCACCGCTGCTGGTACTGGTCTGAAAAGACAACATCGCGACCGTTGCGCTAAGCTTCCCTCGCATGTCACAACTCGCCTGTCACCTCTTCCTTGGAGTCAGAAGCTTCTGAGTTCGCTTTATTCCAGCCCACTTAATCTTGTGCGCACATGTCGCCTTCTATGCTACATCAGGAATGGAGCAGGTCTTGATAGTTGCTCCTTTTTTGGCCCAACCAGACCTAGTTCCCTCAACAGCCTCCCTGACTTCCCCTGGATACATTTCAGGAACAGGGCACCTTCGTTCAAAAAACTGGACCCAGAGGTTCAGGTGGCTACCACAGGAATATATGGTAATTACCATAACTTCTGCAAGCACCACCTAAAAAGAGTAAGTTGTGCTTCACTATGAGAAGTGGAACCTATTCGTTGAGTGAGTCTCTCAGTGAGGAGATCCTGAGAGCGTTCGGTCATTTCAGCGCTTTCTTTCCTGCAAGATGGGTTGGAGTAAGATGTTTTCCTCCACCCTCAAAATGATGTTGCCTCTGTTTTCTTGACGCACATCATGATGCAGAAGTATGGGTAGCACGTCCTGATCGTCAGGTTCCTGAGGGAAGAAGGGAATCTTGCGCCCCTCTTTATCCTCTTGAGCCTATCTCTGGTGCTACTACACTGCAGAGACCACCCCTGAGCCACTGCAGGCAGCGAGTTAAAAATTCTGTTTTTAAAGAAACACTTCTCCTGCTCGCGTGGTCTCTACTAGAGGGTAGGGACTTGCTCGAATTTGGTCAACGGGTTGTGCCTGGATATGTGGCCAAGGTTCCTACTTCTCCCTAAAGGTGGGACCTGCAAGCCCTGCCCCGGAGGAGGGAGACTCAGCCCTGGCTTTCTCTTTCAGTCCGCTTCATTGCGGTTATACGTGCACAGAACGCAAACCTTAGGACCTCAGACCAGCTCTTATCTGTTAAAGAAATCAGCAGAGAGGGAAGGCTGTTTCCAAGCGAGGTTGGCCCACTGAATGGGGGCTGCCTTCATCTTGGTGAAAGTCAATAAGTGCATCCATCCATCATAAAAGTGCTTCACACAGCCTGGGAGGTTAAGAAAGGCCTTCTGAAGTGATCAGGCGGCCCACCGAACACATCCGTCCCATCGGCATTCATTTTATGGCCCGCGTCATGCAAAAGATGAATGCACTTTTTTGAGCTCAAAGGTTGCACAAATATGTAGGCAGGCTATACCGCGGACGCTTTGGATAATCCGTGATTTATTCATAAAGAAAATAATCATCGTCATTGTGATGTGTGTGGAATGTTTAGTGGGACTTATATGGGCTAAATAGAGGAATGAATAGAGTCCGCAACAGCGACTGAAGTGCGCGCGTGTCCGAGTGAAGACTGCGCGAGCCATGCAGCTGACAGCAGCGGCAACAAGCGCTCAGCTTGATTTCAAAAACATTTTAGAGCTAGATCTCTTATTTAAGAGCGAGCTAAATTAATGCTCTGCTAGTTAACTGGAGATGTTTTATTTGTATTAGGTACATAAGTGCCTCAATGTTTCCAATAGTGTGCCGGGTACAAAATGACTAATGACAAAATCGTGGTGCGCACGCGTGACATCAAGCACAACATCTGTCTTGTGACGTTAGAGCTGTTCGCGCATCTCTACTCTGCAATGTTTACTTATTGGCTGATGGTCCTCTTAACAGCATGAAAAACAAAACTTGTAGATTCAAATTGTCAATGGGTTATAAACAGAAAGCGCTCCAATTACAATGACGAGCTGTCATCACGTCAACGAGTTCACGGCACTCTTGCAAAATCTCCAGCCTATTCAACTTAAGTAAAAACCGCAACTTACGCAAGTAATGCAACGTACTGCTGATATTTACGCTACACCAAGTTGCGCTTTAGGTGTAAGTAGACCACGCAGTTCGCTTGGCAGGAAGCTAGAATTTTACTTTGTAACGTTAATTATGAAGAATTTTCTTATACAAACTCATCGTTTCCCTTCAGAAGGTTTTTATTAAAACTTTTTTCTTAGCAACAGGATCTTTAAAACACTGTTCAGGATTTATCTAACCCTCTTTAAAAAGAATACTGTCATCTTGTGGTTATACTATATATTACATTTGTTTTTGATTTTTAAGTGTGTCTTGTATGTCTTATATGTAAGTATGTCTTGACCTCAAACAGATAGCATTAATCTGTTTATTTTTAAGTGACACATTAGCCTGGCTAATGCCAGACCATGTATCATTGTATCATGTATCATATCATTCATTTTCTCATATTTGTGGTGTGGTTTTATGAATCCCCAGAGCCCTATTATTGGGTGCTATGAATGTCAAATGCGCCTGTACGTAGCTCATAGCCAATCGGTTCAATGATACCAGATGACGTATGTAGAGCGACAGAAAATTAGACGATGAAGACGACGATGGGTCATAGATTTAGGAGATTTACATAGGAGATTTATGTATACACAAAACGTGTTTCTCAATGTCAAGGATACTTCCTTGGCAGGACAGGTCATTTCCTTCAGAGGCTAGATGAGGCTCCTCTTTAGCATTCGGAGAACACGTAAATGGAACAGGCTAACAAGTGCAAGTCATTGTGTCATTACATCAGTGAAAGGTCCGCTTTCGGCGCTGCACAAATGGTAGTCCTACTGGTTTAGTTGTACCGCACTGTTTAAACACACTCAGTCCTTATTTTGTCTTGTCAGCCCTCATAGAAATAAATAAATAAAAGTAAGGGATAATGTATAGCGAGACGGTTGTTATAGCGCATACAACCCCGCAAACTCTAACACAAAGCGGAGGGGTCTTGAATCAGCCTGAAGGGTTTGTATTCGCTGTAACAACTGCCTTGCTATTCATTTCCCCACTTATAACATGGCTACCTACCAAATAAATCAATAATTTGACACAAAACCATGACCAGAGACCTGCATTATATGACTGACAGACAAGAACGGTTTGACCTAAAAATATCAAAATTGAAACTACAGCGGAAACAAAGACACCTCTTGGATGCCCTTGAGGTAAGCTAAAACATACCAAAAATTTATTTAAAAGTGAACTATCCCTTGAACCCCTGCAGAGCTGTTTCGAGCACTTTTATCACGGATCGATGCGCTTTGATGGACTTCCATAAAAATATATTCATGGCCTTCCATTATAAAACTTTTTTCCGATTGTATTTGTCTGAAAGAAGAATGTCATATACACCTAGGATGGCTTTTAGGCTGAGGAAATCATGGGCTAATTTTCATTTTTGGGTGAACTATCCCTATATAGTTCCCTATATTCCCTATATATCCCTATATAGGGTTAGTTCACTCAAAAATGAAAATTCTGTATGTGTTTATTAGTTCTGCTGAACACAAAGGAATATATTTGAAAGAATGTTTTAATCAAACAGATCTCATTCCCCATTGACTACCATAGTATGTATTTTTTCCTACTATGGTAGTCAATGGGGAATGAGATTTGTTTCATTAAAATGTTCTTCCAAATATCTTCCTTTGTGTTCAGCAGAACAAATAAACACATAGAGGTTTGGAACAACATGAGGGTGAGTAGACAGAATTTTCATTTTTGGGTGAACTAAATCAAACCATGATTTTACATGATATAAGCATAGACAGTAGGGATATAAGACACCTCCTCTTTCCCTTTTTTGTCCTTACATTAATCCCTTTTTTAAAGGTTGTTTCAGCGATTGTGGGTGACGTCACTTCTGTTCGTGTTTGAAGCGAGATCCCAAACAAACCAAGCTCGCCCGTAATAGATCAAAATTATTTTGATAACTTTTTTGTCAGCTTGGTCTATATATAAGGTTTAATGTGTACAAACAAAGCTTGGTCAAGTTCTTTTTTTTTTTCTTTTCTTTTTTTTTTACAGAAGAAACAAGAACAGTTGCTGAGGTTTCAGCTAAAACGTAAAGTTGCTTATTATAGCGCCACCTTGTCTGTCCAAGCAGCTCACCAAAAGCCCTTGTGAGTTGTGGAGCAGTTGTCAAACTCCTCACCCACTGAAAGGGGAATATGCACATTGTAGAAGCACCAATTCAAAGACATGATGATAATGTATGGGTGTTTTGCACATGCCCCTCTTTGCCACAAGAGGGAACTATTAATCTGATTATTTATGCTAAAACAAATTTCGAACCCAAATGTAAGTAATCTAAAAAAAAGTTTTTATTGACAAATCAGTTAACACCTGTGCTGATGATTTATGAAAAAAATATGTAGTAACAAAATCTGTAATATTTAGGTTGTTTTGAGGCAATGTGTTTGATTATATCATTTGTGTAAATAAATGGCTATAAAGTGATTTTAACATTAAAATCAAAATAGTCCAGTCTAAATTAGCTGCGTAGATTTTTTTTATGCACGTCTGTGAACGGACTTTCATTTAATTGTATATTGTGATTATTTATTTATTTACCAAGGTTAGTGTGTAGTAAGTGTGTGCCCAAATAATTTCTTGAATGAATTCCCTGTTTGGAAGTTTGTAGAACACACAGAAGCAAGTATTGATTAATCATTAGTTCAGTTGTAAACGTTGTTTCCTTTGTCTACTTTTCAGGTATCAGAGTGATCTGATATCAGCAGAGTGTCATGAGCACAGAAAAAGAGCGCAGCGTCCTGAGTGATGCAGAGGAGGAGAAGGAGGTGAAGGATGAGAAGACTGGTGTGCCTGAGGAGCAGGAGTTGGAGGAGCTGAGGGCTCAGATACTGCAGCTCCTGCTTGAGCTGGAAGAAGCTCGAGACGCGTCTCAGAAACACGAGGAGGGCTTTCTGGAGCTGCAAGGTGAGACTTCCTGAAAAACAAAGTAATGACCTTAAAGGAGTAGTTCACTTTAAAAAAAAAAACTTTTGCTGATAATTTACTCACCCCCATGTCATCCAAGATGTCCATGTCATTCTTTCTTCAGTCGAAAAGAAATTAAGGTTTTTGATGAAAACATTCCAGGATTTTTCTCCATATAATGGACTTCAATGGGAACCAAACAGTTCAAGGTTCAAAAGACTCAAACTGCAAACTGTTCAAAGGGCTTTAAACGATTCCAGACAATGAATAAGGGTCTTCTCAAGCGAAACGATCGCTCATTTAAAAAAGAAATAACAAAGTTTAAGTTTTATAAGCTCAAATGGTCACCTTACTCTGTACTGTGATGCACAGACTGTGTTAGTTCGAACTCATTCATCAAAATGAACAAATCTTTTTTCGTGTCATTTGGTGCATTCAATAAACGAAATGAACGAATTGACTCGGAAAACGATTAGTTCATTTTGATGATTAATTTAATCATCTTAATTTCTTTTCGACTGAAGAAAGAAAGACATGGACATCTTGGATGACATGGGGGTGAGTAAATTCTCAGCAAAAGTGATTTTTTAAAAGTGATCTACTCTTTTAAAGTTACATTTATTATTTACTTTGAGGGTCACTTCTTCGGTTTTGTGCCTTGGTTTCAATACATTTTTTAAAATTTTTGTTTTTATAAATTGAATTGAATTGAATTGAATTAAAAAAAAATTCTGGTTAAATGTCAAACTTGTAACTTTAAACAAGTAAACACGTTTGGTATATAATGAATTATATGACCTATAATTTTTCCATAATGATTTTTTGGTGAAGTACGTAAATACTAGTGAAACAACCCAATGTAATTTACTTGAAAAAGTTAGTTCAGACAAGAATTTAAAAAACTAAGTAAATTCCATATCAGTACTTAATTCAAGCGAGTATAAACTCACTAAAACTCAATAAAATTAACTTTTCTGATACTGGGGTTCCCATCATGCACTGGACCTTGAATAATTAATGAGGTTCATTTTTCACTAGTTTCCAGCTGTATTTACACTGTTTTATCATTGATTTTTGTTGTCAGTATTAGTAAATTGCCATTTTGTGACATTTCAAGTAAATTTTTTGCTCAAAATGACACATTCAAACACAAAAACGACCCATCAAATGTTACCGCCATTGTGTATTGTCTTCCAAGTATTGAGGTGTTTGCATTCTGACATGATGTATATATAAATTACTTAGATGATCTACAGTAAGTAAAGCACATCCTATAAATGACCAATAATTCAAGATTATTGTTTTAGTGAAATGTAATACAAAGGCAAAGGAAATCGATATTAATCAACCTTTACAAGCCGAGTTAAAATTATTTATTTTTTGTAAAGTTTACTTAATTCCATATTCCAAGTAAATTTAACTTAAAGATTTCTAATTAAAGCTACTGATAAATATGTTTAGGTTTTTACTTGGCAAATCTTTGTAAATTTACTAGCATTTTCTGAGTGAGATAGTTTAGCAAGGTTTTTTCAAGTAAATCCTACTCCAAATTTTTTACAGTGCAACATATTCAAAACATAAACTCAGAATGCTGATCCTCTAATAATTGTAATAAAATTGGCATTGGGCAAATGACTAATACTTAGTTACCTTAATGCACAATGTCCTTAAATTATGTTTCTTTACGTTTCTAGAAGTTATTTGTCAGAGATATCGATAAATGTGGTCCGTCTGTGTATTTAGCTCCATGAGTTGTTTGACTCAATGACAGGCCCAGTAAAATAGTTTCTATATATAACCCTTTATAGCTCTTTAATGAGTCACCTGCTGTATAGCAGACGGACTCCTGGGACTCTGGTAATGATCTCGGTGTGCGGGGGTCTGTGACTGTGGGCTGTTTGTGTGTAACACGACAGGCATGTGAAATGACAGCTGCATGCTGAGGGAAGATTCCAGAAGGGTTGTCCTGACCAGCTCTATAGGGCAGCAGATGCTTTTATTCTGGGATCATCTCCAGTCACCATGCTCTTCTGTTCCTGCTCATTCATGATGGCAGACATAGCATAGATCAGTCTCACCCTCTAAAGTTGTCCTAGAGAGGTTTCAAGTATTTTGAGTAGCACATTTCGTGACTGCATTCTTATACTTGAAATGGAACATATAGTACAAAGACCCAGAAATTAGACCCTCTGGCCTAATGCTTGAAGTATGGAGAAAGAGGACAGGGGGATGGGATACTCTCCATGTTTATGTAAAAACATGTTTACTATATGTATATAAGTCCCATTTACATTAAGAGGGACAAAGCCTCCCATGCTGAGTTTTGGGTTGCTATAAAGTCTTTAATTTTACTGTGAATGAGAATTTGTGTAAAATGTGTAGACGATGCTGGACAACACAAACTGTTAACACTTTACCCTTTTGCATGTACAATCACACCGGTGTAATCATAGACAGTAAAAGAAATGGACAGAGCGATCTCATTGGAACTCCATTGAGACGATTCAAGCCCGTTTTTGGCGATTTTTTTAGCACTTCCGTCACTGACGCGCAGACTCAAACAGAGCTTGACTACGTAGTGGGACTTGAGTGACCCGTCTGTCATCTAGTGCTGTGGCATGAGAAATCTGAATCATTCCCTTCCGAAACATGCAGAGGCGGAGAGTGTGAATAGGGGCTGTCCATGAGTTAGGAGAAGGAGACAATTTTGCTAGGTATTCTGATTAATTAGTTGTCATTTTGCCTCCACGTGTCCCTGATTGCACGCGAGCTTCTTCTCATGTCCATACGGTAATCTCTTTACTGTGCGACAGAGAGTCGCGTGGGTATGACGCAATCGTTAGCCTATTTTCACTAAAACTGCTTCTACGGGGCCATAACATAAGCTACAAGGTAATGGAGCTATTTATACATTGTCGTGTTTCTTTAGAAATAAATAAAGGACTAATGGGGTCTTCAAATGCCTCAGATGTAAAGTTATTCGCTGTCAAAGTGGCGCCAAAATGAATGGGAGTCAATGGGAATGCTAACGCAAGTGAAGTTCTGCTACAAGATGGCAGCTCCCACGAGGCTTCAACTTCCGGTCGACGGATTACCCCCTTGGGTGTAATTGGAACGGTCAGTGCATTACGTGATCAACGGCTAAATTTAAGCGAGCTTTCGCGTGTTGGCTGGCGCTGAGCCAGAGACGGACACGCTCAGTGCTGTCGTATCACATCTATTCAGTGTTTTGAACCACATAATGTTTATTTTTGTTTTCATACATTTAAAATCACATAAGTACTTGCAAAACAATTAATTTAAGTTCTTAAAATACACACTGATATCTGTGGAAGCGGAATAATAATCATTTCCTTTCTAATTAGATGAACATTTTATACATTTCAGATACACATTGTGTAAGTAGCTTTGAAGTTTACTCTATTCTTCTCCCAGTTTACTGTCCACTTACTTTCGCGTATTTCGGGACTAGAGGATGAATTGACGTTTTGTAAATCCAACAGATCCGATTCTCTGAACTGTGGCACAAACGCGCCCAACGCGCATAGAGCTCAATCGCGTGAACGTTATAAAGGTGCTTAAACAACAAAACACATCCACATATGCACATATTTGACAATCGGAATATCAGATATTTCACCAGCAAGTTCTGGACATTTACATTTACATTACATTTACATTTATTCATTTAGCAGACGCTTTTATCCAAAGCGACTTACAAATGAGAATGATGACCAACCCTCTCAGTTTAATTTAACGCCGTTTTTTTTTTTTTTAAAGAATAAAATAGAAGAGAAAAGTGAAAGTGTTAGTATTACTGGATCGAGTGCTGTCGAAAAAGATACTGTACGTCTTCAGCAGTTTCTTGAAAGTGGCTACTGACTTAGTGCTCTGGTTGAGTTATGCAGATCATTCCACCAACAGGGAACAGGTCCGAGAAAGACATTTGTGGCTCTTTGAGATGGTTCCACAAGACGACATTCACTAGCAGAGCGCAAGTTTCTGGATGGCACATAAGTCTGAAGTCGTGAGTTTAGGTAAGAGGGAGCAGTGCCAGTGGTTGTTAAATTTAATGTAAGCGGCAACTGGCATCCAGTGCAATTTTGTGAGGAGAGGAGTCAAGTCAAGTCACATTTATTTATATAGCGCTTTTCACAATACAGATTGTATCAAAGCAGCTTCACAGTGATAACATGAAAGTAGTATAACACAGATCAATAATATTGTTAAATATTAAATAACCCCAACTAAGCAAGCCAAAAGCAAGGCGACAGTGGCAAGGAACCAAAACTCCATCAGATTGGATGGAGAAAAAAACCTTGGGAGAATCCAGGCTCAGTCGGGGTCCAGTTCTCCTCTGGCTTACATTCATATTGTTTATATATAAATGTAAATATCGTTTATGTATAAAACTGCGCCATAACATATCGCAGGCGTTGAGTCGCATCTGAATCCCCGTGAGAGGCTTTATACAAAACTGGTCCTGACGAACGCCATTTTTCTCGGGACAAGCGTCCCGAGATAACAGCAGAAAGGCAGATGGGAAATAATTAGCATAGCTGATGTTCATAATGATTTCCGTTATACGGGAGTCGGTGTTAGAAAACCACTATCTCACAAACTCTCCGTAACCCAAACTCTCCGCAACCCAACCATACGTGCCGACCCGTTTGTCTAGAAGGCTGTCGAGCCCCACTGTCGCGGAAATGCGTTTCAGTGGCAAACGGTTCCGGTATGGCATAACAGAGGACTAAAAGGTAAGCGTTATGTGAATGCTTGAGTAAAGAGATCTTTAATCTAGTTTTAAACTGTGCCAGCGAGTCAGAGCCTTGGACCGTATCGGGAAAGCTATTCCAGAGTTTTGGAGCTAAATGCGAGAACGCCCTCCCTCCTTTAGTGGACTTAGATATCCTAGGAATGACCACCCAGACAGCAAACTGACATTGAATCAACGTGGAAATGACGTCTCTCATGACATTGAAACAACGTTGATTTGCTCATCGAATTAACGTTGAACCAACGTCAGACGCGGCATTCTTCAAAGCTAAATGAAAATCGAAAATTGGTTTGCTTTCATAACATTGAAACAACGCGTTGATTTCAAGTTGATTTTCCGTTAGTTTTGAAAGAATGACGCGTCTGACGTTGGTTCAACGTTAATTCGATGAGCAAAACAATGTCAGATCAACGTTGTTTCGATGTCATATTTCCACGTTGATTCAATGTCAGTTTGCTATCTGGGCAGAAGCCTTTAATTTAGTGATCTTAAGGAACGCGGTGGATTGTAGGGCGAAAGAAGGTCCGTTAAGTACATAGGTGCTAAACCATTTAGGGCTTTATAGGTCAGTAGTAGTACATTGTAGTTGATACGGAACTTAATAGGTAACCAGTGTAGAGATGATAAAATCGGTGTTATATGATCATATTTTCTTGACCTAGTAAGAACTCTAGCAGCTGAATTTTGTAATAACTGTAGCTTGTTTATTGAGGATGCAGGACAACCAGCTAATAAAGCATTACAGTAATCTAGTCTCGAGGTCATGAATGCGTGAACTAATTTTTCTGCATCAGAAACAGTTAGCATGTTACGTAGCTTAGCAATGTTTCTAAGGTGGAAAAAGGCTGTTCTTGTAAAAAAAAAGGCTCTTCTTCGAAAGACAAGTTGCGGTCTAGTATAACACCCAGGTCTTTTACTGTAGTGGATAAAGTAACAGGACATCCGTCTATATTAAAGTTGTATTTTGAGAGGTTTTGTGAGTAGTTTTTGGACCAATAAGTAATACCTCCGTTTTATCTGAATCTAATAGCAGGAAATTACGCGTCATCCAGCATTTTATATCTTTGAGACACTCTGTCATTTTAGATGAGTTAGTGTTTTCATCTGGCCGTGATGAAATATATAATTGAGTGTCGTCAGCGTAACAGTGGAAATTAATTCCATGTTTTCTTATAATATTACCAAGTGGCAGCATATATATTGAGAATAGCAGAGGGCCTAAAACCGATCCTTGCGGTACTCCATAGTCTACTGACGTTATCTTTGATTTTTCCCCATTTAAACAGACAAAATGATAACGGTCCGATAAGTACGTTCTAAACCAGCTTAATGCCTGTCCCTGAACACCAGTGAAGTTTTGTAGTCGATCCAAGAGTATTTTATGTTCTATAGTGTCGAACGCAGCGCTAAGATCAAGTAGGACTAGTATTGAGATACCTCCTTGGTCAGGAGCTAAAAGTAAATCGTAGTGCTGGGCGGTATACCGGTTCATACCGAAAACCGGTGTATATTTTTGTTATGATTTTTAATATACCACCATACCGATGTATTTAATTAAACAACGTTCAGAACGAACATTACACTGCGCCGCCGACACTGTTTCAGATAGACCCTTTAAAATGTTGCACTTTTAAGCAGCGACGGTGAGGCGAGGGTAAATCAAACAGCAGTGCTGCTCTGTGTTATCCAAGTTGAAGCCTCGCGGGAGCTGCCATCTTGTAGCAGAACTTCACTTGCGTTAGCATTCCCATTGACTCCCATTCATTTTGGCGTCAATTTGACAGCGAATAACTTTACATCTGAGGCGTTTGAAGACCCCATTTGTCCTTTATTTATTTCTAAAGAAACACGACAATGTATAAATAGCTCCATTACCTTGTAGCTTATGTTATGGCCCCGTAAAAGCAGTTAAGTCAGAGCCTGTCTAACGGAGAGCCTTGGCACTTCCTATTAGCCCCGTTGTGTATCATCCTGGATGCAGTTCCATTAGAATTCCACTGGAGGTGATCGCGGGCGAGAGCAGAATGAATGGGAGTCTATGGGGCTAAACGGCTAAATGTGTCTCTTTCACCTGCTTGTCGTTAAATTAACATAGATTTTATTGTTGATTCCGCAAATTCAATATAGGTTATAGGCCAAAAGTTGAATGAACGAGTACTTATGTCCTTTTGATTTCTTACAGGTTAGGCTGTTGTTGGCTGGAACACGCTAGCATTCTGCTATTGTGTGACGTCATCACATTTTTGAACGGATGCAAAAATGCAATTTTAAGCTGAGTGTATTTTCTTAGCCCTCCCTTTTGAATGCAACTTTCAAATTACTTGACAAAAAATTACATCCTGAGAAACGTGGATTTTTTGGGGTGAAACCCCATTGACTCCCATTCATTCTGCACTCGACCGCGAGCGCCCCCGCATGGACAGAGACGCAGAGACTGAGACTGCAGCCAGTCCAGAACCCGGAAGTAACCAGCCAGTGCCTATTCTCTTCAATTAGACATTCTCTGGTTAAGTAGGCTAACGATTGCGTCATACCCACGTGACTCTCTGTCGCACAGTAGAGAGATTACCGTATGGACAGGAGGAGAAGCTCACGCGGAATCGGGGAAACGTGGAGGCAAAATTACAAAATGATTAATCAGAATACCTAGCAATATTGTCTCCTTCTCCTAGCTCATGGACAGCCCCTATTCACACTCTCCGCCTCTGCATGCTTCGGAAGGGAATGATTCAGATTTCTCATGCCACAGCCACTAGAAGACAGACGGGTGGCTCTCGTCTACGTAGTCAAGCTCTGTTTGAGTCTGCGCGTCAGTGACGGAAGTGCTAAAAAATCGCCAAAAACGGGCTTCAATCGTCTCAATGGAGTTCCAATGAGATGGCTCTGTCCATTTCTTTTACTGTCTATGGTGTTATCTTACAGGAAGGGTGGATGCAGCAGAAATATGGCGTTATTTTCCCATCAAATGTCGAGAGCGCACTATCGTGAAAGTACATTAATATAATGCGCGAGCTCAAAACTCTGCTCATGTGTGGAATGTCGTGCTCTCAGATAGGCTACACTGCTCTTGTAAGAATAGGTCTATTTTCTCTGGGCTCACTCAGAGAATCCTGCTCTTAAAACGTGTTCAGTGCAATCGCGAATCTCTCCTCTTCCCCAGCTAACAATTTTAGGTTATAAGAACGTTTTCATAACCTTCCCATTAAGTTATAAAAAAGTTCTTTTTGGATGTTCTAGGAACATTCAAAATGTCCAGTTTTTTTAGACGTTGTATTAACGTTCTTGCTTGGCTATAAGAACATCTTTCAAACGTCATTAGAACGTTCAATTCTCCCGTTATATAAACATTGTATTTTAACGTTATTTCCTGGTTATGAGAATGTTATTAGAACATTAAGAGATAACAATTTTAGGTTATACTGGGCGCTATTCTATTCTACAATATTAACTAATGACAATAAAATAGGCAATCCTAAGTCAATTTATTACTGTAATTCCTCTCAACCAGTAGAAAATGCTTTAAACACCTGATTATGCATAAAAAAAAAACCCCCGTCATAAACCGGAAAACCGGCTTAATTTTGAAAAAAAAAAAAAAAAAAACCCAAAAAACGTGATGTAAATCTTTGGTCAAACCGCCCGTCATTAGAGTGACATGTTCTCTCATCAGCTCATTAAAGACTACTCTGGCTGCAGCATTCTGGATTGTAGAGGTTTGACAGAGCAAGTTGGAAGACCAGCCAGGAGAGCACTACAATAGTCCAGTCTGGATAGAACAAGCGCTTGGACAAGGAGTTAAGTAGCATGCTCTGTTAGGAAGGGCCTGATCTTCCTAATGTTGTGCAAGGCAAATCTGCAGGACCGGGCAGTTCTAGCAATGTGGTTTGTGAAGTTGAATTGATCATCAATTACAACCCCAAGGTTCCTAGCTGAGCTTGATGGAGTTATGGATGATGAGCCTAGCTGAATGGAGAAGTTGTGATGGATGAACGGCACTCTAATTGAAGGCTGAATGTGCAGTGCATCTGCTTCCGTATACCCGCGCTGTGGACCGGACCGTGAGATGCAAATCTCACTGCCCAATGTCCATTGGCTCATTTAGTTTAAACTCGAAGGTAATTGGGCTCTCAGGTAAGATCCCAATTCATCAGTATGTTGACGTGACGTCGAACGTGACCGTCTGAAAGGGAACTATACTTTAAAAACTGCATGCTACTGTTTATATCATGTGTAGCCTTTCTTTGTTTGAAAATTTGTTCTTATTTTATTACTGACTGACTATTCAATTACTGACCCTTGACTTTATGTTTTAATTTACATTAATTAGGCTAGTAGTTTTTTTGTTGTTTTTTTTTTTTTGCTGTAGTATCAAAATTGTAATAGAGAATTGTGATAGTTTACTGGTATCTAAACATTTGAACCACTGACTCAATCCTTAGCAGTGAGCCCTGCTGGAGCAGCTCTAAATGTGTACGGTGCAATTGAATGATAGATCGAATATGATAGAGCAATAGAATGATCAGATAACAGAAGCTCATACAATACATTTTAACATGCTAACTGAAGGTAATATATATTTACTTAACAAATTAAGCCAACTAATATGATTCATATTCTTTTGGTTTCTCTACCCTATATATTAAACAAATATAAGTGCTGTGAAAGTACAGGTATCGGTATAGGTACCAAAAAATTAAAGTATCTGAATCGGATTCATTCTGAAAGAAGTCTTATCGGTGCATCCCTAATATAATTTATACAGTATATTAACATGCATACATAATAATTATGTATTAAAACTATATTACAAGCAAGAGAGTTTTTGTTTCAAATAACCTTCCGGATGAGGTATGAGGTTGCTAACATTTTATATATAATATGTATTTCTCTATCCATGTTCAGGTCTTCTTGAGGAGGAACGGTTAGCGAGTGCTCATCAGGCAGAGGCCTTCACAAGACAGATCCAGCGTCTGCAAGGTAACAGAGACTCTGAATACACAAACCCAAAGGTAATAGGAGGTTGATTTGAAGTTTACAAAATATCAAGGCAAATGCAGTTTTTATTTAAAATATTTGTAAATAAGGAGGTGAAAAAAATGCTGCCACATTTTGACTGAGTTTGGTTCATAAAAGTCATACGTTGCGTAATATCTCCCAACCCCTGTAGCCCAGCTTCGTTCTGTTCAGGAGGAGATGGACAGTCTAGAGGAGGAGAAGGAGAGTGAGCTTCTGGAAGCGCAGGAGGAACTGCGAACAGCGCAGGACGAGGTGCTGGTGCTACAGCAAGCGGCGGAGGAGGCTGCGGCCGAAAGGGAGAACGACATCGCCAGTCTGCAGGAGGAGCTCTGCCGTTTACGGGCTGAAATCTCACGACTGGAGAACACGGGACAGGAGTATGAGCAGGAGATCGTCACTCTCCGAGCAGAAATAGAGATGAAGAGCCAGTTCCGCCAAAAGCAGAGGAAAGAGGGTGAGAACAAAACACTGGACTAAAAGAGCTCTTAGTCAGATGAAGTCAGGGGGAGCTTTATCTGAGCAGTGGTGGAGGAAGTACTGAATCTCAGTACTTAAGTAAAAGTACAAATACCCAGATAAATATTTACTTTAGTAAAAGTAGAAGTAACACAATGACAACCATACTTAAGTAAAAAGTAAAAAGTACTTTATTTTAAATGTACTTTAAGTATTAAAAGTAAAAGTACTTGCATAACAATTTATTATCTTAATGTCTATTTTCTAATGATTAATAAAACATTTAATTCTAACTCATTCAACCTAATAGCCTACTCCTATAATGATGTTCAATAATGATGGAAAAAAATGTCACCATTTCTGAAACAAGCTTGCAATTAGGCAATATACACATCATGCTTATCCTTACTATATAATAACTATGTTTGGCAGTAAACGAGATTAATTCATGGTGTAATTATGAACCTCTTGGCTTGCCATAATCCTAACCAAACCAAACATATACTACACACGGTGTGTTTCCTATGCACGTAAAAACAAATTTTCGCGTATGAGTTGCACGATAAACACACTGCGTGTGAGACGCATTTAGTGTGACCGGGTTGATATACTGTATCTATGGCAACCAAACGTCACTGAGACAAACGTGCAACGAACGGACGGTCAGATTACGTTTTGGCAGGGGAAAAACTGATCAGAAAATGTAACGAAAATGTAACAGAAGTTGTAGAAATGTAGTGGAGTAGAAAGTATAATAATTGCTGCAAAATGTAACGAAGTAAAAGTAAAAAGTATGCACTATTTATTGTACTTAAGTAAAGTAAAGATACGTGAAAAATGTACTTAAGTAAAGTAACGAAGTATTTGTACTTCGTTACATTCCACCACTGTATCTGAGTAAGTGAAGACCAGGAGCAGGCTTCACTTAATGTATATACTAATACACTTTAAGTGTGCTGGCCTGGATGATTAGAATACAAACAATAGAAGAGAGGCCCTATTCATATGTTCGTTTTAATTTAACTTTAATTTGCACAGATGCATTTCGGCGCATGCCTTTTTCAGTGTGCAACAAGATCACAATGTATCCAATCTTTTATACCCACACCCATTGATACACCCATGTTAACACCATCCAATAATTTTAAAGTGATATCCAGTCCAATAATGTCACTAATGTTTCAGAACAGTCCATTAATGAAAGGCAACGACTGTTCCCTTTCAAAAGCTACAATCGATGCTGCGCTGCTTAGCGCATTGGGAACGTCTTTAATCATGACCCGCTGTGAATATAGTGTGTAAACACATCGATTGAATCGACCGGAAGTAATCTAGCCGCAGTCAGTGACGTAATCGGCATGTACCAGCGAGACGAGGCTTTATATATATGAGCCGCAGGTGCATCGTCAGGTCTTTTGTCTTCAGAGATCTCTCTGTGTTTGGTGTGCAAGTATATCTCTCTCTCGGTCTAACACAGATCTTGTTAGGAGTTTATTTATTTATAACTGGCAGTGTGCAGATCTTTCTCTTTCTCATCTCTGAATGTTTTAAAAAGAGTTTTAAAAGTCAAAAGAGAAATGTGTCAGGAAGGAAGTATTGTGTTCATCCATTTTCTCACCCTATGTCAGAAATGGATACACACGCTTACTGCTTTGTGTGTTTGGGGGAGGAGCATGTGATCGCTGCATTGGAGTCAGGAGAGTGTGAGAATTGTGAACTGTTCACAGTCAAAATGCTTTGTGCTTGTCTTGGCTACTTTCAGTCTGCACCGGCATTGTCATCGCGGGGCTCCAGTATGGATTTGTCTGACGAGCAAGAGACAGGTCAGTCTCTTTCGCTTGCTCGTTCTGCAGATCCACAAGATCCATAAGTGTGATCCCGAAACGCACTTAGGTGCCTCTTCGGCTCACGCAGGGGATAATAATGAATCTCTTTGCTCTACGGACTTCGAGCAGCCAACCTCTGAGCATTCCTTGCGTGACGATAAATCTGTCGAGGAATTAATCGAGGTGGTTACTCGTGCGGTGGCTACAGTAGGTTACAGCTTGACTGGCCTCACAAACAAGAGACCCCCAAACAATCTAACTTGCTTCGGCATCTTTTATCAAGTGACCTATACCCTACAATTAGACCTACCTGTTAGATTCCCCAGACTCACCCTCTGGCCTGTTTGTCGACTCTGGTGACGAAGCCATGTAAAATAACATCAGTGCTTGTGGAGAAAGCTGATCAAGCTGCAGGTCAGGCTGGTACGGCGCTGCACACTATGGCAGTGTTACGGGCCTACCAGGCTGACCTATTGAAGGATCTGAGTGTGGGCAGCACTATAGATGGGGAGTCTTTCTTGGAGCTGCAGAGAGCCACAAATCTGTCTCTTCGTGCGACCAAGCAAACAGCCCATGCCACCAGCCGTTCGATGTCTGCTTTGGTCAGCACGGAGAGGCACCTGTGGCTTAATCTAACAGGAATTAAAGACAAAGAACGGGTGTTTCTGTTAGATTCCCCAGTCTCACCCTTTGGCCTGTTTGGCGACTCAGTCAACACAGTAGTCAGCAGGTTCAGAGAGGTTAAGAAACACGAGAAACCTTTTGTACTGTTTCTTCCTCGCCGCACTCATGGGGAGTTGCCATTGGCCACCCAACCTCTCCCCGGTCCTTCAAGAGCCCGGGATTTGAAGAAGCAGAGCGTGTCGAGTGGTGCTCCCCAGAAAAGCCTCAGGACTATCATTAATAAGAAGAGGAAGTCCTGATGGTCCGGCGCCCGGTCCGGTGGGGGTAGCCCCCTGTGGGATGGGGCGCATATTGCATCCAAAAATCACTCCATCCCGCCACCCTCACGAAACCTCTCCATCCCCGCCATCTTTGGTACTTCAGGGGGCTGCGGTTTCCAGCGAAATATTAAATGTTACGTTGTTTCCTGCTGTCATCCAGGACACGGAACATCTAACATCCCCTCAAGAGGAAGTATTAAAATTAACACCACTCTCAGAGAGTCTGGCAGCATGGAAACTTCTGCCAGGAATTTCTACATTGGTATTAAGCGCAGTACAAATAGGATACAGAATCCAATGTATTCGTCGTCCTCCGTGTTTCAACGGCGTGGTCTCCACATCCGTGAGACCGGAGCTGATGCATGAACTGTCACAACAGCTACAAACTCTTCTGAGCAAAGAGGCCAAAGAAACATTTTCCTCTTCCAGAGAGGGAGTTGGGCTATTACAGCAGATACTTCCTGGTTCCCAAGAAGGATGGAGGGTTGAGTCCAATCTTATATCTTCCAGGCTTAAACCGTACAGTCAAAGCACTCAAATTCAAGATGTTAACCATCAATGGTCATGTCGCAAATACACGATTCCACGTTCGTCACAATCGATATGAAGGACGCATATTTTTACATACAAATATTGCCACAACACAGGAAGTTCCTGAGGTTCGCTTTCGGGGATGAAGCAAACCAGTTTCGGGTTCTTCCATTTGGCCTAGCCTTATCACCCCGCACATACACAAAATGCATGGATGCAGCACTGGCTCCATTACGACTCCAGGGTATTCGCATTTTAAATTACATCGATGATTGGTTAATACTAGCACAATCACAAGAGATGGTGCTTCAACACAGAGACATCATGTTAGCTCATCTAGTTTTTCTAGGGCTGAGACTCAACGCCAAGAAAAGTGTTAATTTTCCTGCCCAGAGAAAAACTTATCTCAGGATCAGATTCGATCATGTGGGCACAACTATCCCCTGCTCGAATCAAGACCATTCGGCTAACCATGAGCAAAGTCAGGCTAGGTCAAGATCACACTGTTTGTCAGTACCAAAAGATGTTAGGTTTCATGGCTTCAATATCCACGGTGATTCCTCTGCGGCTGTTGCACATGAGACCATTTCAGTTGTGGCTAAAAGCCAGGGAATTTAATCCAAGAGCCAATCCTCAAAGGCAAATAAAAGTGACGCGCCGTGGGCTTCATAAACTGTGTGGCTCAGACCCCGGTTCCTCGCCTTGGGTCCCACTCTATGGGTGCCTTGTCATCACAAATTGCTAACGACGGACGCTTCCCTGATGGGGCTGGGGTGGGCTGGTCCAGCTCAAGGGGAATGGGAGGGTCATCAGCTCGATTGGCACATCAAGTGCCTTGAGTTGATTGCTGTATTTCTGGCCCTGAAATACTTTATCCCCTAGTTGAGAGGCTGTCATGTTCTAGTGCGGGTGGAAAACCCAGCGGCAGTCTCTTACATAAATCATCCGGGAGGTCTGCGCTCACGCAATCTAAACAGAATAGGGAGGCAGATTTTTCTCTGGGCCCAGGAAAAGTTCCTGTCACTCAGGGCAGTTTACATTCAGGGGTATCTGAATGTGGGAGCAGATTTACTGTCCAGACAGAAACTACAGATGGGGGAATGGAAACTCCACCCAGAAGTAGTAAAACAGATCTGGACTAGGAGTTCTAGCCAGAGTTCGCCAACAAGGGTCTTGCTTCTTACTGGTGCGTTGGCTAAACAGAGTATGGTTGTTACGTACCCTCAAACAAGTTTGTTTGAAAGGGGCAACATTGAGGTTGTGATCAGGAGATGGTGCACATTATAATGGCAAGAGACGACCCATACTCAGAGTTGTGAAAATATAAAGTATGATTTATTTGACAAATGATATTTTAATGCAAAGATAAATAAATATAATAATAATAATAGAGTATAAGGACATAAAGTGAAGCCAAATAAAAGAAAGAAACAAAACAAACACCAATTAACTAAACCCCAACCTCTTAGCTCACTAATAACAAAAAGAAAATAAAAGACAAAGATCTTCAGCGCAAAGCGCCCTCTCTACCTACACTAACTAATAACAAAACATACAAAAGTGGCATTCACTCTCTTACCTGGTGTAGTATACATCGAGTTTACTAGGTGTTGTTTTATGTACGTCACGTGACATTTTTCCTGTCCAAATTACTCTTGGTAACCTCAAAACACGCCATCAAAGGCAGAACACGTTAC